CAACACGGGAAACGTGCTTAACCTATTTTCAATTTATTTGTCAGATTAGCATAGCATTGTACTACGACGCAGTTTACGAATATTCCGAACCGAGAATATTACGAACAGAAACCTCAACGGAGTAAAGTGAATAATACCGTATACCATAGAGAAGACAGTAAACGAAGTAAATATATGCAGAGAAGTCGCGGACGGCTTGCGTATATATTTCGATTTCGCATATTACCTCATCTCGTGTTATATAGGTAAGAAAAAGAGCAATATATTTTTCTGTAAAATCTTCCTTGCTAAGCAACGAACAATTAATGAGTAAAATTAAGGCTAGTATACATAGTCGGTTCTTATTTCAAGACAATGGCTTAAGGTTGATAATATATACGGCTCTGTTATATCTAACAATCGAATGATTAGTTTATAACATCTCTCTCTCTCTTAAGATTACTCCAGCCGGCCTTAAATATAAAAGATCCGACAATGAAATACTACCCTACAACTTTAAGATTACCCTACTCCATTAAGATCTGCTGTGAGAAATTGATCAATCACAATCGAATGTGAGGAAAATAATTAACTATGATTGATTAATTTCTTAGGACTTAAGGATTACTACATATATCTTAAGGATTACTAATTATATATCTTCAGCTTATTTTCTTAATTGTTGCAATTTGAAGTGTTATCGAATTAGAAGATTGCAAAGAAATTAATTAAATTAGGGACATCGCGGTGCGGTGTAGTACAGGAGGTGAGATTTATTGCTAAAAGAAAATCATTTAAATCCTTTTTTATTTTTGAAATAGCAAGTAGACTGTTCATGACGTTCAGATATTCTATCAAATCCATTATTGAAATTAATTAATCTGCAATCATCTGACGACGATGAAATTCTATCGTTTCTCTTCGAAATTTTCTCGTCTTTTTCGTCTCGCATATAATTTATTATATTTCATGTCGTGGCTTTCAATCATTGACGTTAACGTTAATCGAGGACGTGTCGGACGTACGATACGTCTACCTCCTGGCCGATTTTCGGGCGAGCCAAGTTATCCTAGCATACATGCAACGTATAACTTGTACTTTTATTCATCGATTCTTCGGGTCTCTGTCTAACATTCTCGTCCTTGGAGAATCACGTGGTGTTAGAAGCTCGTCACCGCAGGTGCGGAACGCGTGATCGAATATTTATGAAATCAGACAAAGACATTCCATGCCTGCGAAGACAGGCCGTTGATCACGCTTCGATCACGCGTTTCACGCGCGGAAACCGTTCTTTGGTCGCGGCCAGGAATTTAGTGAGCCTTCAGAAGCCACGAGAGTGACACGTCGAGCGCGATAATCCGAAACTGTAAAATAAAGTGCTCCTATCTACCAACGACGATTCAGTTGATTGAATTTCCTCTCCCGTTTGCGGACTGACTCCGACCGGGAGATTATTGCGCCCCGACGCGTACAGTGCGGACCGGCAAAATTACGAACAACATATAAACATTCACGTGGACTGTTTTGCTTCCAGGATGGAGAGCAGATTCGGCGATAGGCGGCATTCAAGTGAGGTGAAGGACAAGCAAGATCTACCAAATAAAAATAAGGTAAGCTAGCAATTAATTTTTAGTTAATATATATTACAGATATAAGCTATAAAGCGTTTGTGCCAGATACATTTTTCAACAACTAAGAACTATTCCTGCTGTTTGCATTTTATTTACTTTTCATATTTAAATTAAAATTATACAAGGATTGTATAATTTAAATTTATGTTAAAAACTAATCTTTCTTTGAAAACAAATATTATACAAATATATCACTGACTTTTTCTTTATTTTTATCTGTGTTTTAGGTTGAATTAAACATGGAGAAAAAGCCAAGTTTAGGATTGCTAACATTAAGCATTACGGATAGTTTTTTGATAGCGACCAATATTTGCTCAACTAAATTAACCCAGAATGTAGACTTATATATAAACCGTCGTTTATAAAAAAGAGGCCGCAAGAGGACGAGCGACAAATGATATTGACTGGTTAGTAAAAAAAAATACAGTTTATCGATTTAGGATTAATAGATTTAAATACAATAAGATTTATTCTTTCTGAAAAGAGGAGTCGGGTTTGTTGCTACTTATGTACTGCATATTGCAATGTATAAAATACATTTATAATTAAAAAATGTGTTTTGCTTACTGAATGTACCTGTTACTAAAGGTTACTTTCTTTTTTTTTTTTATCAGGTTTAGTCGTAATGGCGAAGCTCGCCGAAGAGCCGCTGGAAACGGAAGACATTCTAACGATTTGTTGGGAGCAGAGTCAACACAAGTACACAGAGAGAAGATTACTAGCTGTTGAATGTTGCTCCTACATACCAATATCAGCTGCTGTTAGAAACTCGTTGATGCTGTCAATGCGCTTCCGGAGTAGTACTACCGGAACTGAGGCATCTCAAAACGTTGGTAAATCAATGCCTACCTCAGCAAGAAGATGCAGTGCGTTTCTTGCTCAGAGAAGCGGAGTGCAGGCAGTATTTACTGAATGAAGCCAATAGATAGGTATTGAATAAAAATAATTATGTTAATCTAAACATATCTGATCGTGTTTATAATAATTGACGAATTAATAACTATAAGACATACAGAGGTAAAGAAATATAAGAAATTTTATATTTTATTACTGTAATTTATCACGCGGTGCAATCTTTCGAACATCCCTCATTATTATAGCGACACGCTAATTTTCTTGGAATTTTTGATTGCCGAAAAAAAGATCTCCTGATCTCGGCAGACCAGGCAGCGACCTGGATTTGAAATTACTGTGATTATATAATTGTAATCTACAGTCGCAATAATCCATAGTAGATTTGGTAGAATATTTCTGAATTTCGATATCTTTGGACCATTGAATACTTTTCTAGAAACATTATGTATCCTGTACACATTTTCTCGATAACGAAAAATGTTTAAACGTTTGTGAAAAAATTATCTTCATTCCAGGACACTCGACGAGCTCCGGGTTTTCCCTATCGATGACGACGGTGAATGTCTGCCAAGGATATGCGCCAGAAGATGAACAAGATAACTTCAACAGAAAATTGAATCGCCCAGCATGTCGAGTATTTTCCGCAAGAAGTAAACTTCCCCTTTGTGTCTTATAGCAAGAAATTCTGTGTGAGAAAATCGAGTATCACGTCGGCAAGAGATTCGCGAGTGCAAGCACAAAAAATTGTTGTTAGGCATAAATGTATAATGTTGTTTCAACAAATGTTAACTTATTTTTTTATCGCGCTAGCTCTATGAGTGACGTGTAAATTATTTTGTTTAAATATTAACACGGTCTGAGGAGTTTAGAGATGAGAAAAGACGAATGTTTTTTCACGTTTTGTAAAATTCGGATGTCCATTGTGTCTGCACTCTCGCAGCGTTTGGAATTTTCTCACTTTCTCATGATCCTCTTTAGGTAAAAGAAAAGAAAAAGAATAAATTCAAAACGCCACGATTAACAGTAATTAATGTTTAATTTCGAAGTCTGTCACTTTACATAGTAATAAACAAACGTCATAGATCATATATCATATCAAATTGTATATCGCATATCCGCATATACATATATATATAATACACAAGTGTTTTCCTCGTAGAATAATTTACAAAATCAGACTGTCTAGAAATACAGTTGCGTCCTGTTCCTGCTCGGTTCTGTTTTCCGTTATTTTTTTCTTTCTTTTTTTATATAATCACAGCTTATCCTGATACGTAAAAAAAACATTGCTATTGTATTTTCCTTTTTCCGTTCGATAATTAATCGACACAATCAGAGAGTTTCTCTGAGACATTCGTAAACTGCGATATGAGAATTAAGGTTTCTCTGGGATATTCGTAAACTGCGTCGTAGTGAAATGCTGTGCCAGAGATTCTGGAATATTTATCACAGTAGGTTGCGCCGGAAGTATAAGCTGAAATAAATATCAGTGATATATTTGTATGATATTTGTTTTCAGTGAAAGATTAGTTTTTAACATAAATTACAATCCTTGTATAATTTTAATTTAAATATGAAAAATAAATAAAATGCAAACAGCAGGAATAGTTTTTAGTTGTTGAAAAATGTATCCGGCACAAACGCTTTATAGCTTATCTGTAATATATATGTATATTAACTAAAATTTAATTACTAACTTACCTTGTTCTTAATACTCATTAGGTCATAATCCTGCTCTAGAATCCGTTTTAATGTGCTATCTGTAGCAAGATCATCGCCTGGTTTCATACTGGCTCCAGATTGGCTACCACCACCCACTGTGTTCATCGTTACTCGTTTCACCCATGTAATCAGAACTACTCTCTGTATCCTCTTCTATGTTTACGTCCTATAAATTACAAATGTAATTCTTATAAACTTTTCTTACTTTCGCAATCCTCGGTCTGCAATATCATACGGATAAATTAAATCATGCAGTAAATTAAACCTTTCATAGCGCGGCAACGTTAAGAAAATTACGCCCTCACAACACGATAGTCAATCAGCGTTACACATATTTTTCAAGTTATTGCTACTATCTCTTTCTGTTATTAAATTATAAAAGTTCTGAAACGTCCAAAATCAAATTTGTAACTTGAAAATGAAACTTACTTCTGTACAATAATCAGTGTGTTGGCCTGAACTGCCATCTTCGGAAATTCCGGTCGTAGATGATGCAGCTCGACTGCCACCGCTTCTTGCTCTACGACGAGGTTCTTGATGCTCTGTTTCGTTTCGATTAAGCGCTTTGACATCTTATGGCTTCTCTTTTTGCGTTTGTCCCAAGACAGATTTCAACCCTTACACAATGACAAAATATATTTATATTTCTTTAATGTGTACTTTAATATGATTTGTACAAGATTAAGTAGCTTCGCTAATGCTTTTCTAACTTACTTGGAAGTGCATGAAGTATTCCACTGCTTTTCTACCTCTTAATGACATCAATGACATCAAGCATCTGCAAACAATTTTATAGTTAGTTTAAACTGCGAGTTTCCGTACGATGACAAAATTACTTATATCTACTTGTACATACAATATAAGTTTATTTCTATATTTCATAAATCTGTAATTTGATGTAATTGTTCAAATACAACTTTAGTAGGTTACCTCTCTACTTTTGCAATCTATATCTCTTTCATATTGCAAGGATACTTTTTACTAAGTTCAGAATTAAATTTGCATTTTACACTTACCTATATTTTTGCACGTGAAATGTAGCCAGGTATTAGGCATAAACAAATCTGACAAATAAATTGAAAATAGGTTAAGCACGTTTCCCGTGTTG